CCAGCGAGATGCTACCAGCCCACCACCCACTGACCAAGACGAAGCTGGACGAGGCCGCAAGCAACAACGAGAGATACCAGCGCCTGCATCGGTAGCAGGTTCCAAGAGTGGTGGCACAGGATCTCGACCACGCTTGGCTCCTGGACCTAGCCGACGTTCAGAGCGTCACGCTGGTTCGTCTCCATTTGCCTCTCACAACCGAACCGACACTGCTCAGAGGCGCTCGACTCGCACTGTGGACTCGCCCTCCAACTACTCCTCCGCCAACATGCTTCACCAGCATCTTTCGAACTGTCGCAATCGCCCTGCCGGCCCAACCGCCTCGACGTCCACCGCTCCTACGGCTCACTCAAGCACTCGTGCTAGCCGTCGTAACACCGCCCCTGTAACGTCCTCCTTGCAGACCGTCACCACCACCACCACCACCTCGATGATGATGACCACCACCTCGACATCCGCAGCTACCGTGTCTGCTCCTGTCGATGGTACCGACCGCGTGATCGTCATCGAAGATACACCCGTCCCTGAAGGCATCGCGGACATGAACGCCGATTCTGAATACTCTGCTTCTGAATACGCCGAAACCCGCTTTACCTGCGACAGCGAGGTGTTGCTTCTTGACTACGACTACCCCTACAAGTTCGACACGCCGGAATGGGCCAAACAAACTCCTCCTCCTGCGACCTCCACCCACGACAACACGGAGCGGTCCAGCAGTGCAGTTATGGAAGGAAGCTCCAGCAACCCTTTCCTCGTCGACTGGGTTCCGGCTCCTCCAGACTTTCGCATTACTTCCACCCACAACGACGCGGAGCGATCCGGCAGTGCAGTCATGGAAGGAAGCTCCAGCAACCCTCTCATCGTCGAATCGGTTCCGGCTACTCCAGACATTCGCACCATCGTAGCTCAGGAGGTCGGTGCTCTCGAAGAGCGGATGCTGGCGCGCATAATCGAGTTCTTGAATGCGCACATGATTCCAGATCCTCAGGATAAGGGCAAAGGGAGGGCCATCTAGGGGCACATTTCATCCGACAGAAATCATACATCATACATCGCTCGTACTTTGATACATTGGACATTTCCTAGCGCACGTTGATCGTGCCTCATCTCTACTACCACGCGTCGATCGCGTCTCGTACCTACTTGCATACGTTGACCGTAATGCAACCTCGTTGATCGACATATCCTCGGCACGATCTCTCTCCGCATGAGTCTGGGCTGGAAGATCCGTTGGGCTCTTCGAGCCCAAGCGCTTCGCTTTCGAAATTCAACCGCACTGTGACTCTTGCTCGTTCCATCATGCCCTTGTGGTGCCTCTCGGTATGTGTTTTCTTGTCGCGCAGCAACGATGCTGACAGGCCGTGAATTGACGTAAAAAAGGCTTTTTCCGTTTTCTGGGCTTCGATTTAAGTCTAAATGGGCGACATATAAGACTTGCAGGCTGACTCTCCTCGTCATTCAGTTCTCTTCCCAGTTCTCTTTCTACCAACAATGCCTACCAAGCCACTCCAGCGCCGTCGCATGCAATGCAGCAATCGCGCTCCTCCTCCTCGACCCCGTTCCGAGGAGGAGAGCAGCCACGACAGCAGCTACGAAAGTACCAGCAGCACCACTATGGAGGATGATACAACCGACGATTCCAGCGGAGAAGGATCTAGCGAAAAGAAATCCAAGGACACTACTGAGGCATCTGGCGAAGAAGGAACGGTCGGGCCAGCGGACGTGCGTGAAGAGGCATCCGTCGAGCCTGAAGAACGCTTGATTCGTGTAAGACACACCTCCTGCGCAAAGATCTTTACTGATTCCAATCCAGGTGCAGGTCGATATAATCCACAAGAAGTCTTGTTGGACTGTATTCTATGGAGGCCTGTCGCCATCGTGTACCATTGGAGAAATTGTGGACCACTGCGAGGAGTCCTGTGGCGCTGACCCTTCCGACAAGTAAGCCCTACGACTATCTTTGCGACAAAAGATTAATGTTCTGCCAAAGGGTCCTTTACAACGGAAGATGCCTCCACCGAGATGCGACGCTTGCGTCAGCGGGAATGAACACGGATAATGGTGAGCTGCGTACCTTCTGGCCATCCCGTTGCCGTCGCTTACTCATTGGTCTCAGAACATCTTTATATTGTCGACTCTGGTAAGTATCTCATCGTTTGGCTGTACTTTGCTATTGCTGACGCCTCCGCAGAGTTTGAAAAGTTTCTTATTGCCGATTTCGACTAGAGTACATACTTAATATTCATTTCCAACTTTGTTGTGTGCAGCTAGACGGAAGCTTACGACGATCACGTCGGCTGGAGAGTATGGGTGGAACAACACCCTCGCTATTCCCGAAGGGCAGGCTGTTTGAATGATACACAACGGGCCTCTAGTGAGATAGGGTTTCACCCTTCTCACTTTCAGCTTGCTCGTCCAGCTGAGCCTTTCGCTGTTGCCGTCCACGACATACCAGGACTGTCGCTGAGACGGAAGATCACCTTTTCGCCTGTGGCCTACTAATGTTCCGGTTACAGCAACACACGAGGTACGTCGCTTCTCGGTAGAGATCCTCTTTGCCTCTGACGAGGTTCAACCCATATGATGCAGCCGTCTGCACTGACATACCAGGCGTGTCGCTGTCGCAGCACCCTGAATTCCTATATTTCTTGCTCACGTCCACCCTGATTATACTGCCAACTGTTACCGTACCCCAGACTCCCATGTCAACCCTAATAACAGTACCGTTCGCGCCAACACACGAGGTATGTCGCTTCTATGTAGCTATTCTGTCCGCTTCTGACGAAGACAAGCCCGTATGTTTCAGGAGTCCGCGCCGACATACCAGGCGTGTCGCTGTCGCAGCACCCTGAATTCCTATCTCTTACTCATGTCCACCCTGATTATATTGCCGAGCTTCAATGTACCTCGGACTCCTATGTCAACCCTAATAACAGTACCGTTTGCGCCAACACACGAGGTATGTCGCTTCTATGTAGCGATTCTCTCCGCTTCTGACGAAGACAAGTCCATATGATTCAACCGCTTGAGCCGACATACCAGGTGTGTCACTGTCGCAGCACCCTGAATTCCTACTTCTGGCTCACGTCCACCCTGATTATATCGCCGACTGTACTAGCACACCAGGAGTGTCGTCGTGCCTCGGACTCTCATGGTGACCCTAATAATATTGACAGTTGCAACAACACACAAGGTATGTCGTTTCTCTTCGGAGGCCCTTCCGCTCCTGACCAAAGCGGGTACCAGTGATCCATCTGCGCCATACCAGGTATGCCGCTGTCGCAGCACCCAGATTGGCTGACCCTAATTATATCAGTTCCTTTCAAAATGGTTCTGGGCCCTCTCATAGGTGTACCGATACGGAGAACATGCCTCCAACCCAATCTGCCAAGGGTGCTACAACTAAACGCAATCGCCTCCTTACTGTGATTCATAGCGAGAAATCCACTGCACCTTCGGCCAGCAGCTCGAAAGAGCGTCTAGATCAAGCCAAGAAGCGCAAGATGTTCAAGAAGTCCAAGTCAAAGGACCCCCTCAAGCTCCGGGTTCCTATGCCATCTTCCTCAGCCGCCAACGACGTTCAGATAAAGGATGGCGAGGTTGCACCCGCACTACAGACCATCCCTTTAAATCTGCCTCGCTATCTCTCAAAACCCAACTTCCGACCCATCCCAAGACGCGCTTTGCAGAGAGATCCTCACGGAAGGTTTCACGAAGCGGGCTTCTCCCAGGGAGAAGTGTCGGACGTTATTTCTCCACAGTAAGTCATAACATGTTTTCGAAGCCTTCGTATTCTAACAACATATTTGCAGTCTGTTTACCATGCTCGGTCGCACAGCCCCTGCCAGTGTTCCCCGACCCCCCCTGCCATCGCAAGTAGATGCCATCGTCTCCGATTACGTCTCGGACGATCGTGCGCATCTCCCAACACATATGGTTGCCGTTTGGGGCTCTCAAGCACCCCAACGTCCTCGTCAAATTACCCTCTATCCGGTTCACCAGGAGGTCATGCAGCTGCAACGCGCGCACCTCCCAATACCTGAGCAGACCCGCGCTGAAACACCTTCGAGCCAACCGCAAAACATTCAGATCACCCTCCCCGTCCAGTCCCTCTGCCTTCCATCACCCGAGAGCTACGCTCCTCTCGCGCGCTACATCTACCACAAGGACACGTTGAGACTCCTCAACGAGTTGCTCCCTGTCAGGCCCCCTGCCGACTTCGAGGACAACCAGGCCCAGATCCCTTCCTTCGGTACCTTCATCGGGCGCAACTGCGAAATGAAGGATATTCTCTCGCGGGTGATGCTCATCAACGGCCTCTGGAAAGACGCTTGTGCGCTCGCTGTTCATGACGACCACGACGGTCTTTGGGATACCATCGAGCTCGCTTGGGAGGTCATGCTCACTGCGCTTGCCGTTGCCCTCGGCAAGCCTGAGCTCATGATCGAGGACGACTCCCAACCATAACAGGCCAACTAAATCCAACCCTATGGTTTTCATTATGTCTTTCAAACACTATGCTCATATGACTATGTCTTCGTCGCCTGCATTTCCCTCATCTTGCTCACTTCATACCCTGCATGACTCGGTCACCTCGCATTTTTTGTTCAACTTACACATTTTATACTTATTTCCTTTTGTTCTTTCCTTTTACGCATCGCTTCGTTTACATCCTAGACCATCCACATCATCGTTCTTGTACAAAGCAAATCACTTGTACCATATCATAGTTTTGGAATCACATCTGCGCATTACATCTCAACTGCGAAGTGGATAACTGCCTCGTACAACAAGCCGAAGAGAATCGCCACAGTGCAGATGTCTTGCGGCACCACCGGACCTTGAATGGAGCAGCATTGTTAAGTTATACTTTCATTACGCCTACTTACAATACGTTTTTGTTTTGTCTTTGATGCTCGTTCGGTCTCGTGTAATCAGCAATATGTGGCCTGGCCGATAAAAACAAAAGAGTCCGAAATAGAACAGATGGACCACTTGTACGACTGCCGCCGGATTCGAACCGACGACCTTCAACCAGAAGGACGCATGACAACCACTGTGCAACACAGTCACTGCTGGACTACCTCTTTTCTTGCACAGTAGAGAACGCAAACTGTTATATATAGCAAGCCATCACGATGCATGGTTTGTGCGGACTGGGGGGTGAAAAAAGTAGATTTCCAAGCTATTATTGGGGAGGACTATGCCGGGTTCGAACCGAAGACCTTCAGATGACCTGAAGGACGCATCGCAGCCACTGTGCAACAGAGTCACTGATAGCTAACCTCTTTTCTTTGTATAGTAAAGAACCCAAACTGTTATTTATAGCACGCCATCACGATGCATGGTCTGTGCGCACTCGGGGCTTTCCGTCGGATTGATATCTCCTGGTCAACCTCGGTTCGTTCTTGACCGCGACGTCCACAGCGACAACCACCCATGTAATCTGGAGTTTCACTCCGATTGCATGGTCCCCGTACCGTGTACGCATGTCTTTACCCGAATGACCAAGGAGCGGTGCATCAAATACCCCTTTCCCTTTCCTTTCTGCTGGTTCAAGTTGGTGCATTATCCTTGACCAACTGCAGTACAGACTTTGTGTTGGACGTACGTTACGAATACTACCGCATACCTGTTATAATGTTCCCGCCTTGCTCTTGAAGAACGCCGGTATTTTGATGGTCTCGTTTTGGGCGCTTACGACACGATCCGCCCCTGCTCGATTAGATATAGGAAGCTCCAGCAACTCTATAGTCGTCGACTCGGTTCCGGCTACTCCAGACATTGGTACCATCGTAGCTCAGGATATCAGTGCTCTCAAAGAGAGGTTGCTGGCGCGCTTAATCGAGTTCTTTACCGCGCACATAATTACAGATCCTCGTTGATCGTGCCTCGTCTCTACTACCACGCGTCGATTGCGTCTCGTACCTACTTGCATACGTTGACCGTAATGCAACCTCGTTGATCGACATATCCTCGGCACGATCTCTCTCCGCATGAGTCTGGGCTGGAAGATCCGTTGGGCTCTTCGAGCCCAAGCGCTTCGCTTTCGAAATTCAACCGCACTGTGACTCTTGCTCGTTCCATCATGCCCTTGTGGTGCCTCTCGGTATGTGTTTCCTTGTCGCGCAGCAACGATGCTGACAGGCCGTGAATGCCTCCACAGAATGTGAAAAGATTCTTATTGCCGATTTCGACTAGAGTACATACACAATATTCATTTTCTATTTTGTTGCATGCAACTACCCGCCGGAAGCTTACAACGATCGCATCGGCTGGGTGTTACAACCTCTCATTCATATGATAGCTCAAAAGGCTTTCACCGCACCTGTTTTATTTGACAAAGCACGACAGACGTCCACTGTCGTACGTCTGGCCATTCGCGAAGGGTGGGCTGGTTGGATGATATACAACGAACCTCTGGTGAGATAGGGTTTCACCCTTCTCACTTTTCAGCTTGCTCACCTCGCCGAGTCTTTCGCTGTTGCCGTCCACGACATACCAGGACTGTCGGCGAGACGGAGATTCACCCTTTTCGCCTCTGGCCTTCTAATGCTCCGGTTACAGCAACACACGAGGTACGTCGCTTCTGGGTAGAGATTCTCTTCGCCTCTGATGATGTTCAGCCCATTTGATTCAGCCGTCTGCACCGACATACCAGGCGTGTCGCTGTCGCAGCACCCTGAATTCCTACTTCTGGCTCAGGTCCACCCTGATTATATCGCCGACTGTACCAGCACACCAGGAGTGTCGTCATGCCTCGGACTCTCATGGTCGTTTCTCTTCGGAGGCCCTTCGGCTTCTGACCAAAGCGGGTACCAGTGATCCATCTGCGCCATACCAGGTATGCCGCTGTCGCAGCACCCAGATTGGCTGACCCTAATTATATCAGTTCCTTTCAAAATGGTTCTGGGCCCTCTCATAGGTGTACCGATACGGAGAACATGCCTCGAGCCCAATCTGCCAAGGGTGCTACAACTAAACGCAATCGCCTCCTTACTGTGATTCATAGCGAGAAATCCACTGTACCTTCGGCCAGCAGCTCGAAAGAGTGTCTGGATCAAGCCAAGAAGCGCAAGATGTTGAAGAAGTCCAAGTCAAAGGACCCCCTCAAGCTCCGGGTTCCTATGCCATCTTCCTCAGCCGCCAACGACGTTCAGATAAAGGATGGCGAGGTTGCACCTGCACTACAGACCATCCCTTTAAATCTGCCTCGCTATCTCTCAAAACCCAACCTCCGACCCATCCCAAGACGCGCTTTGCAGAGAGATCCTCACGGAAGGTTTCACGAAGCGAGCTTCTCCCAGGGAGAAGTGTCGGACGTTATTTCTCCACAGTAAGTCATAACATGTTTTCGAAGCCTTCGTATTCTAACAACATATTTGCAGTCTGTTTACCATGCTCGGTCGCACAACCCCTGCCAGTGTTCCCCCGACCCCCCTACCATCGCAAGTAGATGCCATCGTTTCCGATTACATCTCGGACGATCGTGCATATCTTCCAACACATATGGTTGCCGTTTGGGGCTTTCAAGCACCCCAGCGTCCTCGTCAAATTACCCGCTATCCGGTTCACCAGGAGGTCATGCAGCTGCAACGCGCGCACCTCCCAATACCTGAGCAGATCCGCGCTGAAACACCTTCGAGCCAACCGCAAAACATTCAGATCACCCTCCCCGTCCAGTCCCTCTGCCTTCCATCACCCGAGAGCTATGCTCCTCTCGCGCGCTACATCTACCACAAGGACACGTTGAGACTCCTCAACGAGTTGCTCCCTGTCAGGCCCCCTGCCGACTTCGAGGACAACCAGGCCCAGATCCCTTCCTTCGGTACCTTCATCGGGCGCAACTGCGAAATGAAGGATATTCTCTCGCGAGTGATTGAGGTATGTCGTCTACGGGAGCCTTTGACCAACTCCAGTTCTTTCTGAGCATTAACACGCCCAGAACGTCGCTCTCGCACTCACGGAAAGCAATATGCTCGAATCCCATGCTCCGGAATGTCAGCTAGCCTCACCCGATTACCAAGGATCCAAAACGGACACCTTTCTCGCGTACCTTCTCGCCTCGCACGCCCACGACGTTCCAGGACTGTCGCTGAGATGGTCATTTACTACTTTGCCGTCGCCTGCTCCGCTCACCCACTTTACGCACCATCGGACGCGTCGATCATGTTTTTGGCTGATTATCACTCATGTACTCCTGCTTGGCGCCTTCCGCCTCCTCAAGAGCCGATCACGGAGCTTTGCATACATAGGGGTAATTCCTTTTTTGATCCCGTCGTAATCAAATAGGCGCCCACGCGTGTACCAGACCAAAACGCCCAAACCAGACGACAGTGATATACCGCTTGCACCAGAAGATGGAAATTAGTTTGTATTTATTTCACCTTTACTTGATGACGCTCTGTACAGAGTTCAACCGGTCTCATAGGATTTGGGGGAGTGTAAAGTTATTCAGATCAGAGGTGCGAGAAAAGGACGACATAAGCGATGGGACCAGTTATAAACCCTCAACCACCCTTTTTACAGCTTCTTCATCAACTCTCATCACAACCAAACCAGTAAGTACACTCCTTTTCACCACAACTGTCTCTGACTTTGCCTCAGCTGCTTATCCAGACCCACATCAACGACAAAATGGCTGATGTTATCCAAGCCGTAAGTTTTGTTTTTTCTTTGGCGTATTGGCTAACTACTGACAGCCTCTTTGCAGCCCAACTTCCCGTTCATCGGCGTATGGGAAATGCTCGACGCTGTTCCCCAAGCGTGCTATATCGTTGAGTTCAATGGGGCGATGTGGATACTCCAGCTGCACTCCCTCGTTCAGGGCCAAACCCCTCCCCTCCCAGACGGCACGATGCCAATCTACATCGGACAACAACAATGGATTGCGTACATCATGTAGCGCAGGTGCTACGGCCGTTTCGTTTCGTGTACCAAGTTGTGCTTAGTGTTCCAAAAAAAGACCCTTCTTGATGATTTTCCGGGCGTCTTGCCCTTTCGTCTCGTCCGCTGTCACCTGGGTTGCGTGGGATAGGGTTTCACCCTTCTCACCTGTGTTCTCCTCTCTTTAAAGCCCCTACATCGCCTTCGTCCTTGCTTCCTCGAGGACTTCTGACCTCAAGCACCGACACCAACGACATTCGTCGAATGTCGTCATTTTGGCCAGGTGGGGATGGGATTTCATCCCTCTCCACTTCTCCTCGTTCCTTGCGCTTACCCACAGTGTCTCGTCAACTCCTCGTTGGCTTCACCTCACTCTCACCCTCGCGAATGCTCCTTCGCTTCCAACGCCAACAGCAGCCTTCGACTACCGTCCGTACGAATCGTTCCTCCCCACCTCTTGCTCGGTTTTCACGCCCACCCACATCTACGGCACGTCTCGCCCCTTCTCCTTCCAGCTCTCCTTCGCTCTCACGACACATCCGCCCTCATCACCTCGTCGGCGTATCCATGCAACGACGACATTCCTGGAATGTCGTCCTTGGGTTCAGCTCGTTCATTGCCCCTCGAGCACTCCTTTGCGCCCATCCATCTTCGCGATCCTTCCGCCCTTGTCACCTCATTGATTTCACCTGGTGGAGATGGAATTTCATTCCTCTCCGCCTTTTTCTTGTTAGTTTCGTTGATCCACAACCCACGTCGCTCCTCGTCGGTTTCACGTCGCCTGCTCCCCCTCCAACGCTCGTTCTCCTCGACCACCAACGTCAGTCACTGGCCTTCCTCACTACGCATTACTGGTGATGGGCTTTCATCCCTCTCCACCAGTTCTTCGTTCTTTACGCCCGCCCGGAACACTATGCCCGCCTCTCTCCCTTGTTCCTCGCTGCCTTTGCACACCCAAGTCATCCACAACACCTCCGCCTTCCTCGTTGCCTCCTCCATCCGTCCATTCACCCATCCACCCATCCAACGACGACAATCCAGGAGTGTCGTCGTTGGATTCACCTCGTTCCCTCCTCCAACGACGCTTGTTCGCCTCTTGTGACGACGACGATCCTCGACTGTCGTCGCTACGGATCGGTGGAGATGGGATTTCATCCCTCTCCACTACTTCCTCGCCGTTTTGTG